TGTTCTATACGTCAGTTGGCACCCCTGTCGGGGAATGCACGAACTACGCGCTACGCGTGTGATGTCACCTGACCCCGGGTCACGTGACATCCCCCACCTTTCCTCGTCACCAATACGACCAATAAATCATTCTCTATTCTACTTCCGGCTTGCTCACTACGTTCCCTTCACTCTCCTGAAAACACCTGCTTCTACATCCACGTCCATCGTGCAAGAAACAGAACATGGCGCAGCCGTAGTCGGACCTAGTGAATAAGAAGTTTTTTGGCAAGTAGTATAGAAAGTGTTGTGTGACCTGGTTGTTTCATCGTATTAGTTCTTCCTCACTGGAAAAAGACCCCATATAGAATGGCCACCAATGTGTCGTCGGCTAATGTCCGTCGACCTGGAGTTGTTAACTTGAGGTCTGGAAATATCCAGGCCTCATGGTCAAAGTTCAAACAAAAATTTGAGATTTTCCTCCTCGCTACACAGCAGGAGAAAGCAACCTCAACTGTGCGCTTCGCCCTTCTCCTTGGAGAAGCAGGTGACGATGCACTGGAGGTGTACGACTCTTTCAAAGATAGGTTGATTACCTATAAGAAAGATGAGGCTACTGGACTCAACGTCGTTGACCAGGACCTTAGTCGAGATTACGAGAGCGTGCTGCGAGAGTTCGACCTCTATGCCACTGAGAAAAAGTGTGTCATAGGGTGTAGAGAGCTCTTCAACCACCGCAACCAAAAGGCCGGTGAACCGGTAGCCAACTGGCTAACCGACCTCCGTAATCTTAGCAAAGACTGTAAGTACGGCTCAATTGAAGAGTCAATGATTCACGATAGACTAATTTGGGGTACATACGATAAGGAACTACGGAAGACACTTCGTGCCAAGGCGGCTTTACCTCTACATGAGCTGGTCGAAATTAGCAAGTCTACAGAGTCCAACGCCAAATACCCACGTACAGTGGAAAGAGTGGCTGTTGTCGACTCCGTTCAAACAGGGCCAATGCGTGGTCGTGCTAAAAAACGAACACACCAGCAGACACCCTATGAGAAACCCCAGCAGCAGCGTGGAAAACAAGGTGGTGGTTCCTTCAAACAAAATAGAAAGAATCAAAAACCTTTGTACACGTACAAATGCAGGAAGTGTCTCCAGGTCCATGAGGCTGGGAATTGCCCTGCTTGGGGACATACTTGTAAAGTATGTGGGAAACCAAATCATTTCCCTGTGGTACATCGCCAAAATGAAGATGATCAACTGCCACGGAAAAGGCAGAAGACCACTCATAATGAGAAACCACATGTGCAGAAGATCAATGCCCTGACAGTGCAGGACGTCGATGAATCCACTCTGCTCAACGGGAAGTTCACCTCCTCTGATGACGACTCTGATGGACAACAGGTGAAGTACGTTCATTCTCTTACTAAAAGTTGCCATAAAGAGTATTTGGAGGAGCTCAGAATCAATGGTAAAGACTGGATAGTCTTTAAACTTGATTGTGGCTCCCAAGCAAATGTTCTTCCCATGGATAGTTTTCAATTCATTAATAGTGATAATGATATTGAATTGTCTCCAACTAGAACTCTACTGGAAGGTTATGATGAGAGCATCTGCCAACCAGAGGGTTCAGTGATGTTGAAAGTTGAAACCAAATATGGGCGGAACATGCTTGCTAAATTTTACATATCTAAAAAAGGGCGTAGAGCTATCCTAGGTATTGAGGGTTGTGAAATTCTGGATCTGGTTAAACGAGTTGAACATTCTGTAACTATGATTGATTCAGTGGAAATTAATTCCCTTGTATTGCCAGATTCCAAAGAGTCATTCCTAAATAAATTCAATGAACAGTTTACGGGCCTTGGACAGTTCAAGCAGAAAGTTACCATTTTGGTAGATCCAACGGTACAGCCTCGAATGTGTCCCCCAAGGAGATATAACTTCTCCATCATCAACCGGTTGAAAGATAAGCTTGACGAACTGGAAAGGAGGGGTGTGGTTGCAAAAATCACCACTGAATCCCCTAAGTTTGTCAGCAATCTTGTCATTCGGGAAAAGAGTGATGGAGATCTTAGAATCTGTCTTGACCCTCAAGTGCTGAATACTGCCATTGTTCGCCAAACATATGCCATTCCTACACAGGAAGAATTGGCATATAGAGTGCGCGACAAAGCGGTATTCACAGTGCTTGATTTGCGGGAAGGATTTTGGCATGCCAGTCTAGATGAGGATTCTAGTCTGCTTTGCACTTTCTCCACCCCACATGGCCTGTACAAATTTCTAAAAATGCCTTTTGGGTTGACAAGTGCTCCTGAAATATTCCAGTTTCTGGCTGAACAGGCATTTCAGGACACAGATGTCATACTCTATTTTGATGATTGTCTCGTGGCTGGAAAAGATTTTGCCGAACATGACAAAATTCTAGCTGCAGTGATGCAACGAGCTAAAGAGCAAAATATTCGGTTTAATCCTTCCAAAATTCAGTACAGACAGGCAGAGGTAAAGTTTCTTGGACATTTGTGGTCCAAGAATAATATCAGAGTTGATCCTCAGAGAGTGAGAGCTATTAATGCAATTGCAGAGCCTAAAAGTAAAAATCAGTTGCAAAAATGTCTAGGGACATTCAACTACTTGAGAAATTTCATTCCTCAAATGGCTGAGATTGCTGCTCCTCTCAACCAACTCTTGTCTAGTTCTGTAGCTTTTCACTGGTTACCTGTACATTCCCAGGCATTTCAAGCCCTGAAAGATAGCATCTCAAAGGCTCCTGTACTAGCAACTTTTGACTGTAAAAAGCCAATCATTCTCCAAGCTGATGCAAGTCAATTCGGTCTTGGGTGCTGCCTTCTACAAGGTAGACAGCCAGTAGTGCTGGCGTCCCGCAGACTAACTGAAACAGAGACAAATTATGCACAGATTGAAAAAGAAATGTTGGCCTTGGTCTTTGCTGCAGAAAAGTTTGAGAAGTATATATGGGGAATGCCTGATGTGTTGTTCCAGACAGACCATCAGCCATTAGTATCAATTTTCAAGAAGCCCATATATACCATAACCAATAATAGACTGAAAAAGATGAGACTAAAATTACTCAGGTTTCAACCTCGGGTTGAATACCTACCTGGTAAACTCTTGTATATTGCTGATCTACTTTCTCGGAACTTCCTGGATGACCCAGTTGAAGATGATCCCGAAATGGTTGAATATGTACATGAAGTGACTAAAAATATTCCCATGTCCTCTGACATGAAAGATTTATTCCTGAAAGAGACAAGCAAAGATACAGGGTTATCCACAGTCATGCAATACTACCAGGAGGGCTGGCCTAAGCATAGAAACAAAGTGCCTATGGAAAGCAAGCCCTACTGGGGTATTCGCAATGATTTGTTTGTAGAAGACGGATTGGTCATAATAAATGACAGGATAGTAGTCCCTGTCGTTCTCAGACCTAAAGTCTTAAAAAGATTACATGCTGCCCACCTTGGGATGGATAAAACTAAATCTCGAGCCAGGCAGTCTGTATATTGGCCAGGAATTACCAATGACATTGAGACGCTGATTGGTGAATGCAGAATCTGTGAAAGACATAGTCCACAGAATTTTAAAGAACCTCTAATTCCACATGAAATTCCACAGCTGAGGTTTCAGAAAGTTAGTGTAGATATCATGGAACTGGATACTCATACTTACTTGGTCTTGGTTGATAATCTATCCAAATGGCTTGAGATTAAACCATTAACCAGTAAGAGCAGCAAATCAGTCATTGGTGTCCTGAGATCTATTTTTGCAACTCATGGTGTCCCTGAAATCATATTTGGAGATAATAACCCTCTGAACTCAGCTGAATGCCATGAGTTTGCAAAAAGTATTGGAAGTGAGGTTAGGACCAGCTCACCTGAATATCCTCGCAGCAATGGGCTCGCTGAAAAAGGCGTTCACATTGCGAAGCAACTCATTAAAAAGTGTACTGACGAGGGAACGCACTACCTTGACTCACTCAGAGAGTACAATAATACTCCCCTGTCAGGTATGAATGTGTCACCCTCTCAGATACTAATGAGCAGGATTTGCAGAACTGGGGTCCCAACGCTCCATAAAAATCTTGAGCCAAAAGTGATCAATGTGCATCCAACTTTGAAACGGTTGCAAGGAAGGGTGAAATCCAGACATGATGCTCATGCTCGGAGGAAACCTGTAACGTTCAAAGTGGGTAATAATGTTGCAGTTAGGAGGGGAAATAAATGGATAAAGGCAACTATCATAGCTAAAATTAAAGCTGATAGGTCTTACCTGGTACGGCAATCAAATGGTAAAGTGTTGCGGCGCAATACTTGGCATTTAAAGCACTCCCGCACTGAGTCAGATCATATTGACTCTGATTCGGGCAGGATTGATGTGGAACATATTCTTGACAACTTTCGAGTTAGTCAAAATATAGTAACCACTGCTGCACCTAACCCCAACTCTGCTTCGGTGTTTACAGGCACAAAAAACGATCCCGCTGAAGACCGGCAAGAGTTCGGTGTCCTCCCTAGACCATCAATTGGAAAAACTCAGCAAAACGATGGCACAACACGGTCTGGGCGACGTGTAAAGCAGACCCCGATCTATGGCGTCAATGATTTTTATTAAAATCGATTTCCTTTTTCTTTTAATTTACTTTGTAAGGCAAGGCGCCTTACCAAAACATTGAGGCTCAAACAGAAATAAAAAATATGAGCTCATCCTTTGTTTTTGTTGTTCCTTGTGCACCACTACCAACCCCAGCACTTGAAAGACTTGAAATGAAAAAGAAAAAAAAGAAAGAGACTCGAAGGGGGAGATGTTCTATACGTCAGTTGGCACCCCTGTCGGGGAATGCACGAACTACGCGCTACGCGTGTGATGTCACCTGACCCCGGGTCACGTGACATCCCCC